TCTTTTTATATATATATATATATATATATATATATTTTTTTTTTATTTTTTTTTTTTTCCTTCAAAAATCTTATAAGTATGTTATTCATCCTTTAAATTTATTATTTTCACCAATTTGATTTTTTTTTTAAATCTAATTTTAAGCATAAACCTCACCTAATGCAATTTTTCTTATCAATTTATTTGGTAACACTTTACAATAAGGTGTCATTTGTTAACATTAGTTAATGTATTAAGTAACATGAACTAACAATGAACAATACATTTGTTAAAGTATTTATTCATCTTTGTTTATGTTAGTTAATGAAAATACAGTTATTCATTGTTTGTTCATGTTAGTTTACAGTGCATTAACTAATGTTAACAAATACAAGTTTTGATTTTAATAATGTATTAGTAAATGTTGAAATTAACATTAACTAAGATTAATAAATGCTGTAGAAGTATTGTTCATGCTTAGTTCATGTTAACTAATACAGTTAATACTGTTAACTAATGAACCTTATTGTAAAGTGTTACCATTTATTTTAAGGATGTTCAGAAAAAAAAGATAAATTAATTTAATTCTGCAGTATAAAAACAATAATTTTCTGACATCAGTAGATCACTGAAAGAACTTGTTTATACATCAGGTTTGTACATCAGGACTAGGACTACAGTAAAAAAGCAGTTTTAGATGGTGTCTAAAAATATTGTTTCTGAATTGCTGCCTTCTGATTTTTTTTCTCTGTTTTACAGATACCTTATTAAGTTCCTTGCTAAGCTTGCACAGGAAAGTGACGTTAACAAGATGACCCCCAGCAACATTGCCATCGTCCTTGGACCCAATCTACTGTGGGCCAAAACCGAGGGGTCAGAATATTTTGCAGTATCCAGCAAACAAGTTAAAATATTTAATTGTGCCTTGTTTAAACTCTTTTCTCTTTATCTACAGGAGCCTAGCAGAAATGGCTGCTGCAACCTCTGTGCATGTTGTTACTATAATTGAACCCATAATTCAGCATGCAGATTGGTTTTTCCCTGAGGGTATGGGCCATAAAGCTTTAAATAGATAGTATTTGCCAATGAAAAAAGGATTGCTGTCATTTTTAAGATTAACCTGTTTCTTGTTATTCCTTCAGATGTGGATTTTAATGTATCCGGCATGTTTTCTATGCCTGCACCCCTGCCAAACAACGTCAACCACCTGACCCCACCAGATTATGACTCGGGCACCATAGAAAGGAAGAGACCTGGCAGCATGGTGGGCCCAGATGGTGAATTGCCCCGGAGAGAAAGGTAATCTTTACACAAAATCTCACTTAACAGTTTGATTTCTTTAATCAATCAAACTAGTGATGTCCTCTTGCTTCACAAAGATCTACAATAAAGTGGATTTAGAATGCAGTTTAATTGATCAATTCACTTTAATTGAGCAATTAAAATAGCGGATCATATTACACTCACAATTAACCTCTCCTGTGTTGCCGTTCTACTGATAAATCTCTTGCTTTTCCCTCTTGACCCTCCAATGTGTGTGGTCTAAGTGGGATTTCTACCAATGCAGATTACCCTCTTGGTTTCTGTGGTGTCGCTCTCTTGGGAACTTATTAGCACTAGTGGTGTCTCTGCTGTCTCCTCTTTCTGTAGCTCTGCTAATAAATTAATGGACCACAATCCTCGTAGAGGCAATACTGTACCTAGAAAGCAGCACGCTTCGCCTGCCTTCCAGCCCCCACTGCCCCCTGTGGAGGCTGCCGGTAATGCTGGGGGTCAGCCTATGGCTGAACTCCTGCTCCAGCAGCCTGCGCAGGTGGGCCTGGGCTTAGAGAGCTGTCAGCCCGGGCTGGCGCTGGGGATGGCCGCCCTGGCAGCAGCACAGCAGCTTCTAGCTCAGCATACTGAGGAGATCAGGTAAGACTCCTGCAACGTTCCGGGTCATGCCGCACCAGTGCAGTGCATGAGTGAATCAGCCCTGCATGCACATGGAATAGCTGTGGAGGGACAAAACGGATCTTTCAACTCCCTTTTTTCCAGTGATTTACATTGATGTGATCTATAACAACCCAAAATTAAATTAGTTTTACTAATATGGCTGTTCAGCAACAGATGGCAAATCGCAATGATTGATAAATTTATTCTGTGAGTGAAGGGGAGTCTAACAATATAAAGAGAAGTATTTGACTGGTCATGCTCCTGCTCCATCACAACAAAATAGCTTTTATTGGCTTTCATTGAAAGATAAAATGTGCAAAATCAGCTTTTCACTGGGATAGTACCCTCAAAGGTGGACCTTTGGTTCTTATCTTTTTCTAAGATATTCCTTTTTATCACACGTACATTTAAAGAATCTTTTATAGAATTGTATGTACAGAATCTTGTGTTTTTTGTATAAGTTGAATTTTATTAAAAAATATATATATATATATTGTATTTATTATATTGTTGGCTCTTTAATCTTCATCTGCCATGTAATAGCCAGTGAAGCTGATATGGCAATGAATTTAAATGCCTTAAAGTACCTTAAGGGTCCATATTAGTAATTAGACGACACTTTTTGACACCTTGGGTACCCTTAAGGGCCGTGGTTCTCAACCAGGGTGCTGGGGCACACTAGAGGGCTTCACAATACACATTGTTTCAAATCAGCTTTAGCAAAGGCAAGGCAAGGCAAGTTTATTTATATGGCACATTTCATACACAGTGGTAATACAAAGTGCAGAAAAATACAAAAAAAAAATTATTTAACAAAAAATATATTGCAATGGAAGAAAGGAGTAAATTAGTTCAAATGCTTTATTAATTTAAGCTTTACAGAAAATCATGATTTTAGTGTTTGTAATATTTTAATATCTTCAGGCTTTATAGTTGCATTTAGCCAATTAGAGCTGGGCAATAATATAGTTTAACATTTTGCAACAATACAAGCAATCAAGTAGTTGAGATATAGTATATATTGCCCTACGCAAGTATACTGTGTATGCGGATAAAGTAGGATATACTTATTTATTCAAATTTATATGAAGAGCTGGTCGATAATATAGTTACATTTTGCAACAACAACAAAAAATAAGGCAATTGAGATTTGCTATATAGTACATATTGCGTTTTACGTGGGTGTACTACATGTATGCACTGCAGATAAAGATGGATGTAATACATATATATTTAAAAAATATGGGGGGAGGGGCTTTGAATATCGAAAACATTTTTTTAAATATCCTTGTTTGGATAATGGAGATACTTGAAGTCAAAATGGTTGAGAACCACTGCTTTAGGTGTAGATATGGTACATATGTCTACCTACTGCCCCATTGACAAGCTTAAGCTTAATTTTTTTCTGAAATGCAAACAATTTTTTTTTTTCATTCATTTTTATGTTAAGAAAAAATCTTTTTTATTTTTTTTTATAAAGGAAAAAATGCTGAGTTTAGCTTTAACCATTTCAAACATAATATTAAACTATTCCATCACAAAAAGGCTTAAGTTTGTATTTGTGGAGTTTGCATGTTGCGGAATGTGAAATAAATATTATTTAATAAATATTACTGATTTATATTTTTTACTCCATTTGCTTAACAGTTCAAAGACCCGAGACCCTGCGTCCACTCCTCCAGCTCAGAGAAATGGCACTGGAGGATCAGGACAGCTGAGTGTGGGGACCCCTGTGGCTGGATCTACAGGACCCAGTCCTCACATGGCACACAGAGGTCAGTAGACTTACCTCAGAAGTCTTACACCAGGGGTGCCCAGTCCTGTTCCTGGAGGTCCTGCAAAGTTCAGCGCCAACCCTAATCAAACACAACTGAACCAGCTAGTTAAGATCTTCAGGAGCACTTGATAATTAGACAGGTGTGTTGGATCAAGGTTGGACCTGAACTCGGCATCCATCTTATTCCGTTTCATATTTCTGACGTATTCCAAGTGCTCGCGGTACTTCTGACACAAAGGACAAATGGATTTTCAGCATCTAGTGTAAACAGCTCAGAACATCAGAAAGAGCTTGTTTTAAATTCTTTTTTTATTTATAGGTTCTAAGAAGCCGGCCCCAGCTCCTCCTAAACCAGCCAACCCTCCACCAGGCCAACCAGCCAATCAGTCAGTACAGCAAGCCTCTTCAGGCACCCCTCAGTCCCTCAGCCCCTCTCCTAGACCGCTTTCTAGTTACTCTCCAACCAATCTGAGCCCCATACAACCACAAGCTCAAACCAACATAACCCCTCGTCGCCACTCGAGCAACCAGCCCCCTATTCAGGCACCCAACCATCCGCCCCCGCAGCCTCCCACGCAGGCCACGCCCCCTCCCCAACCCAGTGCTCCAGCTGACCTCGGAGAAGACCCCTCCCCTCCCAGCACTCCCACTCCACCGAGCACCCCTCCGCCCACAGCAGTGTTTCATGACAGTCCCAGTCCCACCGCTCCCCCGGTGTTCCAGTCAGGATCGCTTCCTCGCCCGAGGCCTGTGCCTAAACCACGTAACAGACCTACTGTTCCCCCTCCGCCACAGCCTCCAGCCACAGGAAGCGACAGCAATGGAATTTGCAGTGCTGCCTTCAAAACAATGGGTGAAGCTCTTTTATTTCCGTCACTCTAAGCTTGTGTTTTTTCTGTGAGTTGCATAAGGTTTCAGGGCACATGAAGACTGTGTCTGAAAGTTGAATAGAATATCGATGTAGGAAGGCAACAAGCTACATATGAAATGTAGTCATTAAAAAAAGTGGATTCAATTGTAATACCAATATTTTTTTAAATAGTTTAATACATGGCTATAGTTTATAAAGACATGACTTCACTACTAAATACTACACAGAGATGCACTGTCACTGAGAGCAGGATGCATTTATTCATACAAAGTTTACTAACAATATGAGTTAATGTTTAACTCACTAACATTTTAGAATTGCATTTAACAACTAACAACCTTGCTCTGAAAACTGTGGCTGTCCCAGTGTCATGAGAGCATTTTGGTACATGTCAGTAGAGATTGACTGATAATCGATATTTACAATATTTACCCTTTTTTACTTGTGTTTTTAAAATTGTTTTATTGTGTAGCTATTGGTCTACGATGTAAACTAATAAGTGCTACATGATGGGGTTTAAACAAAAATAGCACCCAAAATTAATACACTGCTATAACTTATTAAAAATTGTTTGTGTTAATAATATTACATAATTCCACCATTTGTGTTTGAGTGAGATATGTTGCAGATATCCTTGATGTGCAGCATTGTAGTGGAAGTAGGGATGCAAACTTGTCACTGTTTGGCAAAAAATGCCAGTTTGAATGTAATAAAGACCATATAAATATTAGTATTGTAATTCTATTGTTGTTCTGTAAAATAAAATTTATGTTGTTATTATTATTATTAAATACTATACAATTTTATTTTACAGCACAGTAGTATTATTACTATAGTAATAGTTCTTTATTGGTTAAATTGTTATAATTTAATAATAAAATATTATTATTTATTTATTCATTTATTTATTATTATTATTGAATAGTCATTGAACAGGTTCTATTCAAAAATGAACTGTTAAAAGAAAACTATATAGTATCTAGGGTGAGTTGTTCCCTTATATCCTCATTTTAAAGCTAATCCATGAATTTTCGAATTTACTGTTTTACAAGAAAGGCAGAAAAAAATTGTAAAGCACTTAATTTATTTATTTTATTCAGATGCCCAATTACAGTCAATAAATACAGTCTAATAAATTTATTAGACCACCTGTCATAATAAAAACAAATATTTTAGGAATCTGTCAAAAACTTGTTTAAAACTAAAAATTGTATTGTTATTTTATTAGGCAAATAACAAACTGAAACAACTAAATAGTCTTTATTTGCACATAATAACCAAAAGACTTAATATTTTGTATGGCTTCCTTTGGCCTTGATAACATCTTGCATTCTTGCTGTTGTTATTGACTGTAATTGGGCATCTGAATAAAAAAAAAATTTATAAAGTGTTTTACTATTTTTTTCTGCCTTTCTTGTAAAACAGTAAATTCGAAAATTCAATGATAACAACAATAATTATATTTTAGCATTAGAAACACTACTGTGACTAAAGAGCTTACACATACTGATGGATTAACCATTATAGAAACATAAAAAATGAGTTTGCTAATCACTAATACTGTTAGTTTAGGGCAGCTGTGGCACAATCCTTACACTGGGTGGTGGTCTAATAAATTAGTTAAGCACTGTATATGTAAAACATCAGTTAATCTAAGTGCTTATCTCAAAAAAGCTTAATTTTGGATTTGATTATTAACAATCCATTAGTCTGCATGGTCTGACTTCCTAATCTTGTGTCTTACAGATTCGGGGATGACATTTAAACCACTGGGTCGAGCTCTTGTTCCTGATATCACCGTTGAGAAGCCTGTTACCCAACTCAAGGACATAGACCTTGACACAGAGAGCACCGTCCTGTAAAAATGGCCTTGACCCCAAACACCCTTTCCCTTGACCAAAGGTTTGCTAAAGGGCTGCTCTTCTCACCATTACCAAAGTGTTCATCATCTTGGCTGTACTTCTCGAATACCCTACGCTTAAGACAATCAACAATCCCAGTGGCACCAGGGAAACAGATGCCCCGAGATGTTGGACGTTTATTTAAACATGCCTTTTCATTGTGATGGCAGCAAAAAAAAATGACCTGTATTGCATGAGGAACTGGGTTGAGAAACAAGAAACTAATTTGTTTGTTACGAGGTACTTGGAGGTGAGTCTTAAGTGGCCTTGGCTAAACAAAGCAATTACTCAATTTAAAAGGTGGAAGATGCTTAAAAAAAGAAAAGAAAGAAAAACTGTGGCTTTATGTATAAGCTTGTGACTGCAGGTCTCCAGTCAGCTAATACAATACAAATACAGTACATTCCTTTTTTTCATTTGCAAGCCTTACTTTCCCAGTTTGGAAACGAGTTACATGCAATTCATTGGTTGAAGGTATGCGAATGTCAAATGATTCGTTTTCTGCCTTTCACAGCTAATAATTTCAGAATTTTGGGGCATTAATATGACTGGACCTAAACATATGTGGTAGAGCACTACTCAGCTATGTGTAAAAGTAATCCTGATTGGTTCATATGTGAAAGAGGTCATTTGTTATTGGACATTTGATTGCGAAAATTAGAAGTAAAGTGTTCAGCTGTCAGTTTATGTAATGGAAAAGGTCAAAATATGTGCTTTAGTGATATTCTGGTATGGAAACTTTATGCTATGGCTTTGTTTGTATGTTTCCAGGCCTTGACAATGATAGCTTTGTATTTCCCTCCTTTTACTCCTGATATGGTACCAAAGTGGGGAAAAATGTGCCACTTGGACGTTAGTCTTGCTGTATAATAGCTAAGAGGAGACATAATTGCTTACATTTTTCCCTCCTTGTCTCGTATTCTATAAACTCTAGATCATAATTATCTATTAAAACCACCCAAAGTTGTTTTGTTGATATTCCAAATGAACCATTTGACCAAATTACAAGAATGAACAGCTTGCCGAACAGTTACATGGTGACACTGCTTCATGCTCTTTTTCAAAAACAACATTTGGAACCTGATTCTGATCGATGTGGGAGAGAAAAATGTAGGCGTTCATGCTCAGTTAACTTTTCTTTATACATTTTCCTTGCCTTTACCATGCTGCCTTACCTAAGTACACTTGCAAGAGCTTGGAGCTCTCCAAGGTTTGGAGAGTACACTGACTTCACACTTATGAAACGAAAAGTTGATGGTGCATTTGAAGTTCAGAGCATTCACATCAGAAGACTACATCTTTATTGAATTTGGAAAAAGACAAAAAAAAATGCTTTGTATTACTGATTTAAAGTGAAATAAAAAAGTGAAACAAGAACCGGTGTTTCAACAGTTCATTGTGTAGTTGTTGACTTCTCAAATTTAGTTTAGTTATGTATGTTTATTTAGTTTTGGATTTATAGGGAGCACAAAAAAAAATTATTACACCATTTGAAGTTAACTGTGACCACCTACACTATAAATGAGCACCACCAATGCCTCTAATTAGAGTCCATTAATGGTTTTTATACAGACTTGAATGGATATGTGGAGAGAAGGTGACAATGAGCTGAGAATGACTGTATTTCTCCAGCTGAACTAACACCTCACACTTGCTGTGTATGCCATCATTCAGTTGACTAAAATGTTGTATGCTCATTAATTCAACAACTTATTCTAGTCTTTTTACACACTGTGTAAGCTTTCATTGTGGGAAATTACATTTGGCAAAATATTGTCTTCTCTACTCCTATACAGCCTGCAGGGGACCAACTGACTGTTCATTATTTTGCTTATTACATACTTACAAAATAATAATTTTTATTTTATATGTAAAGAAAGAAACCATGTGATAAACAAGTGGCACAGCTTTGGGGAATCAATTAGGACACTAGTCAATTATTATTAGATTTAAAAACATTTGACTACAGAATAATCACAATGGACCAACCAGAATCGAGATTTACAGATATGACTAATACTTACTCATGCATTAATTTTGGTCAGTTGTGTTTGGATTTTCTCCTCATTCTGATCATTCAGCACCTTGGTATAAAGGACTGATATAAACCTCATTGATATAAACCTCACTGATATAAATTTCATTCTAAAATTTAATTTATTTATGAAGAGAGGATTTAGCCTTATACTGTGCTTTTTTTGTCTCAGTAAATGACTTTTTGTGTGTTTATGTGTAATTAGATGGTTTAAGGTTCTTGATGAAGATGCAGGCAGGGGTTTATAATTAGTCATTTTCATGTAGGCCTATCCTCTTACTCTGTATACACGTATCTAAGATCTTTGGTATTTGAAGTATTTATAGTGTTGCCTGGTATCGAGAACATTATGATGACGTTAGTGGAGTGCCTTGAAAAAAAGATTTTGTATAATTGTGAAAATATAAATGCAAAAAAGAAATCACTTTCACTTTACAAACTGACATGATTAGATACAGTTGAAGATACAGATTTAATAGAAAACTGTTGTTAAATGTGACAAAGTAACAATAAATAAATAGTCTATAACTCTTTAGCCTATTGCCATGAAAAAAAAACAGCTTTATTAAGCTACTATTTTTCAAAAGTATACTCATTTCTTTGTGTACAACTTGTTAATGAGGACAAAATTACAGCTGCTGCATTGATGGAGCGTGGGTCTTAAAGACCTCCATAAATGGATACAGTTTCAGTACAAAATAATTCCACAGAGATGAATTTCCGCAAAAGCGTATTTATTCAGGCAAAACAATTTAGACATCTGATTAAAACGCAGCAATATGTGGCCTGTCGATATTGAAGCCGGTATAGAACTGCTCAGGAAAACACTAGGCTAGTCACACCAACAGTTTGTACACAAATTAATTTACAACTAATTAATTTGGTAAAACAAATTCAATATAACAAATCGATACAGAAACAATCAAAACAGGAATACATTACATAAATAGAAATACTCTGCTACATGCAAATTGTAGGTTTTCTCCGACGAACAATTTATAGAAAGAATGGAGGTTCTGACAAGGAACTAAGAAAAATACACATAAATGACACAAAAACAGGCAATAAGGAAGATCATGCATTTGTTCAAGAAGAAATGCATTATTGTTATCTTAAACAATAGTACCTAAAAAAGTCAGACAAGCTACATACTCGTTTTAAAAGAACTCAGATGATATGTGTACCCCCCTCTGCCGTTTAATAAAGTGAAGCTTTTGCATTTTCTTTTCATAGTTGAAAACCAATTTCATGATGTAAAACCTACCACAGATTCTCATGCGGGATGAAACCACCGATCAATTATAGGCTACAACTAATATTGCAATAAAATACAAATGATCACTGATTTGGAAAATAGTTTTGTCCTCACTTATGAAGGATGCACTCTTGTTCTGCTATAGTATCGGCGTATCACAATGGAGTACAACAATAAAACACTAATACTGTGAAGAATTTAAAACTCATTTGAAACTGTGTGTGTGTGTGTGTGTGTGTGTGTGTGTGTTAAAACACATTTGGCTTGAGGATGAGTAAGTTCATCATGAAAACATTCATTCACCTCGGTTTCCAAAATATACCATCAAAAACACCATCAATCCTCTCCACCTGAAGTGCTCATGTTCCTGTTACATTCTCTAGCAGCTGGAAATCTCAAAACAAAATTATTAATTAGATTATATTAATATACTTTCTTGACAAACACGCTGAAGTTCAGTATAAAATAGATATATATTTATTCTAAAGATATTTTTAATTCATCCAAGACATTTAAAGTAAGGTTTGTTTCCTTTCACGCTATCAAGTTCCCTGTTTTTATTGGCACATGGGCATTCTGGGTTCGAAACAGCAGATGCTGTTGGTTTCACCATGCCAGCGGCGAAGCTATTCGGGGGCTTCTGGGGTTTTCTGTTCCTTGCGTCTCACTCAGTGCTCTCTGTTGAATAGAAACACAGCAAACTCTTATTTCATGACATGGTGTCATTTCATCTGTGAAAACGGCAGCATTTCAGAAACTCACCTCAAATTTGGAGATAAATTCAGCAAAGATGCCAAAGAAGGTTTCTGTGGTCGTGGCTTTACTGTCTTCTCCAAAATACGAGGCCACTTTATGAAACTCATCCATTGCTCTTTGCTGCAAGGAGTCTAGGGACTGCACAGCTGGATGACAGTTTTCCAGAAAGCTCTAACATCAGAGTCAAGGGCTGATACACACTGCAACGGAAGTTCAATATACATATTCTCACAGGATATGTGTTTTTATTCTTTTCACTAACAAACTCATTCTAAAAATGCTGTTGGTTGGTGGATACACTCAAAACCGATGCGAAGCGATCCTCTGCAGTAGCTGGGATTTTCACACAGGCGGTTCTTATTTCCTGGATGGTAGAGTGAAGGTCACTGAGCTCAGCAGTAATGGTCCTTTGATTGACTGCATTTACAGTGAAAATATGTCAACACCAATTATTTTTCAATACATTTAATTTATATTTTTGCAAATATTATGTCTGCATTTCCACAAAAACCAACAGCAGAAAATAACATTATTGAGGTCAGTACGATTTCTTTTAAAGAAATTAAAACTTTTTTTTTCAGCAAGGATGCATTAAATTGATCAGGTAAAGATGTTACAACATATTTCTATTGCAAATAAATGCTGTTCTTTCAAACTTTTTATTTATCAAACAATCCTGAAAAAAAAAATGTACCATGGTTTCCACAAAAATATTAAGCATCACAATTTTTGTCAACATTGATAATAATATGAAATGTATTACACAATATTATTGTTTTTACTGTATTTTTGATCAAATACATGCAACCTTGGTGAGCATGAGAGACTTATTTAAAAAACATTTAAAAATTCTTACCGACCCCAGACTTCTGAACAGTGGTGTACAGTATATACAAATATCTAACAGGAAGTTGTTCTGATGCCTTACCTTTGGCAGCTAGTGGCACTGTTATGAGGTCCCTGGCGAAGTTGAGGAGTTCTGGGAAGTGTTGGCATAATGATTTGGCAAGAATATGGAGGAAAGTTGACTTTCCATCGACAGTTTTTGTTGTGTTCAGCTGGGGAGTATTATAATTCATTATTAGAATAAACATAAAAAACATCATATGAACAATATTTAATAAAAACATTGCAATGTTTTCTCAGTAATTATTGCAAACATACCTCAGTAAGAAAATTAATTTTGAATCCTGTTGTTTTATTCGTCTTGGGTTGACCATTGTTCAGATAATTTCCCATTGCTAAAACAAACTAAAAACACGAAAAGAGTACATACTGTCAGAATAATATTTAAATGAACTCCTCTGCAGAAGATTTATAAAAGATAAAAGATTTATAATTCAATTAAGTGTTTTACCTCCAGGATCTTGGCCAACCTCTTGCTGTTTTTAAGCTCTAATGAGGCTTTGTATATGCATTCATATGCGCCTCTCATTTCTTCTGTTTTCTCCTGCACGGTGGTCTTAAAAAGAAGACTCCTCAATCTGGTTTTATACTCAGGAACTAGTAGCATCTGTAGAACAAGCCCACAAGAATCTATTAATATTTACATGAATTATGACTGGTAAACCAGCTGGAACTCAGGTAAAACAGCACCTGTAGGACAAACTTGTCGGGCTCGCTGAGCTTGGCAGGGTCCTGGTCATAATGCTGAAACCGTTTTACCTCCTCGTCATCGGGAGCGTAAAGCAACAGTTGTTTAATGTGTGCGGGTTCCAGACGCTCGGTGCTCATGGTCATGAGAATTTCTCGCAGTTCCTTCGGGGACAGCTTCAGATGCGCTATGAGGATAGCTGAACAAGGCAGCAAATGTGATGAGACATGGATTCTTAAGCTTCTCATTGGGAAAATTCCCACACAGATGCTACAGCAGCAAATACCTACAGCACCTCTTTAACCTACTCCTACACATCTACGTCACATGTGACAACAAACCTGACTCAACCCAGAGCACTTTAACACAACCCCACTCATACTCACAAGCATTGTAGGCCTTTTTATGGGAGAGAATCTCAACCACGTCTTTCTTTTTAAAGTTCTCGGGCAGGAAAGTGGGCTCTGGAAGAGAGACTGACACATTTAATAACAGTGTAAGCATGAGCTCTCCTCGCACCAGTACTGGAGACAATATACTGTATGAAGGGTTATGAGACTGAAAAGAAGCTGTAAGATGCCAATAACTGGATGAGAATGATGGGATCTGAGACAAATATAGCTCTCCATGAGAGATGAGCTGAAAAGTACAAAAATAGACAAGGTAATTGAGTTCATTTTCACCATCAAAATGACAAGCTACAAAACGGATGCCACATGTGGATGAAGACTGCAATATACAGACAATGTTGAGATGTTGTTAAGTGTCTCTAAAAGACTTTCCCCCGTCTGAATTTCTAGTGTAAAGTATACAGTATTATATTGCTTTATATTATATTACATGATGACATGTTTAAATGCCATATAAATCGTAACAAAAGTTTGGGGTAAATAATTTATTTTTTTTAAGAAATTAGTACTTTTACTCAGCAATGATGCATTAAATTGATCAAAAGTGACAGCAAAGACATTTATAATGTTACAAAGAAATATATTAAGCAGCACAACCATTTTCTACATTGAAAAGATATAATTTTTGAGCACTATAAGCACATATTGACACTTAAGACTTTAATGGCAGCTGCTTTTTATTTATTTTTATAAAAAAAAAAAACATTACAAAAATCTTTCACCATACTTTTGAATAGTAGTGTAATAAATTGTATTATTTAAATAAATAATAAAATAAACTAATATCATTAATTAAGAAATATAATTATATTGCGTTAAAAAATGTAATTTTTAAATTATGAAAAAACTAAATTCCTTCACCGTGATACACTCAAATAATAACTACAAGAAGAATTGCATTTTGTTGTGTTTTTTTTATGGTTCATGAAGGGTTTTGTTTTAAATTCATAGGTTTTGATTGATGATTTGAAGACATTCAGTGTAAAAACACAGAAAATCAGATGGGGGGCAAACACTCTTTCACAGCACTGTGTGAAAAATGGGTGATGATGAATACATGCAATACTACATTGAACTAGCTATAACAAAATAGAGAACTTACTGGAATTCCTCTGTGTGCCGAAGTACAGATCCAGATCCAGGTACTTGACCATGTCACTGAGTTTATGATAGTCAGGATCATCTCCAAGCTAGAAAACAGATTATCACTACTTAATAATGGATCACATGACCTGCACCTACACTTCACCATGGTTCTGATGTACACTGTGGTTGTTATGTATCACCAACCAACCTGTCCCCAGATAGTTCCTTCAGAGTTCTCCACCTGCTGCCAGCGCAGTCTTTTAACGCTCATGTGGTTGTTGTCAGAGGCTTTCGGGCTGGCTTTGGGCAAAGGTGGAGGACCACAAGGTGGGGGTAAAGGAGGTGGCGGTGGTGGTGGTGGGGGAACCTTGGTTGAGAGTGTGCCTTCATAGCTTTGTTGGGAATGGAGGCTCTTTTGTTTGGTCAGGTTAGGGGAGGTTCTGGAAGCAGAGGTCTGCCTGCTCTGGTAGACTGACTGGGTGGGATGCCGCAGGTGAGTGTGCTGTGTGGTTGCGTGCGGGGGTTGAGGGGAGGTGTGCGGGGTTGACTGTAGGATGGGGTGAGCCTTTGGTTGGTGCAGCTGCAGAACGGATTGAGCGCTGGGCTGGGGAGAGGAGCGTCGAGGATGGGTGTGCTGGGCCCTGAACTCCTCACGGGTGGGCAGCACCTTGTGCAACGGGGGGCGGTTAGTAAGGAAGGACCGAGGTGGAGGTGGGGGTGGAGCTATGATGGGGTGGTGCTGGAAGGCTGGGGGAGGTTGGGGCAAGTGCTCTGGGGTGAGGGGCAGGGGCGACGGTGGGTCGGTGAACTGGATGGGAGGTGGCGGAGGCGGAGGACTCTGTGGGGGAGGAGGGATGTGGTCAGAGCCTGAGGAGTAGGAGACTGAGGTGGAGTCTTCGCTGCTGCTGTGGTCTTCACTGCTGGCACTGCTTAACTCATGAGGCAGCATGTTCACTTCCTGGTCATCCTGGAAACTCATCTGCCAGTGTCACAAAGACAATTAGGGCTTTGAAAAGCAAAAACATGTATGAAACATAAATGTATATAAGGCTCATCTTAAAATAAAAAATAAAATAAAATAAAAAATGTGACCTTACATATGAAAAGTGTTTAAAGATGGAAAATAAATAAATAAATTAATTAATAAATAAATAAATATGAAATGTGAATAAAATTAAACAAAAAAAACTAAACTAAACAATTAAAATATTAAATTAAATTAAATTAAATTAAATATGACCCTTCAAGACAAGTGTTTTGGAGAATGGATAGAAAAAAAATAATGATAATTTTGTGTATAATTTATATAAATAAATGCTTGTTTGTGATTATTTTATTATTATATTTTTGTGACATTTAATTGGCTGTGTCTGGCACAAACCTCCTCATAGTCATTCTCCCCTCCTTTAAAGTCATCCACGATATTGACCCTGTGGCCCAACTGCTCGCTCAGAGCATCCAGGAACTTGTCAGTGTCTCGGCTGCGAGGTGGCCGTGAGAAGGTAAACAGCTTCCTGCGCTGGGGCAGAGGACTGGGCTCATCAGAAGGCAAGGGGGAGGCTGGGGGGCTGTCAAAACTAACATAAGGATTAGAGTCCACACTGTCTGGAGAAGGAACAGTCTGCTGGTAAGGCTCGAACTGAGGGCCAGGAAAAGATTCAGTCCATGAAAGAGAGAGGCCTGACTTACAGTTCCCTGCAAAATGAACAAACTCATGAGGAACATTTATAGTACACTTATGAGAGATCTTAATAAATGTTCTAAAAAGTTTTAAAATGACCAAGACCAAGAACTACAACATCCTAATACATTAAATTTGGGATTTTCAAACTTGCCATGGCCCTTCTTGTACGGGACCTCTAAAATAACTGGCTCATATATTGTCATTGCAAAACAAACAGTTATAATATTATCTGTAAAATATTAAATTTCAATTGGAGATGACACCCATTTTAATGTTAGAATTATCATCCAAATCTGAAGAAACATTGAAAAATGAAATGAAAAATGAAATGAACTTATAATATAAAAAAAAAAAAAAAAAAAGTATATATATATATATATATATATATATATATAATTACAGTTAATGATAACCAACTAGTCTTTAGAAAGCCAAGAAAAAAAAACTGTAATAATGTTAAAGAAATTATGGTAACACTTTACAATAAAGTCCCATAACTAACAATGAGCCATACATTTATTACAATATTTATTCATCTTTTTTAATATTAGTTGATAAAAATACAACTCATTTTTAGTTCATGTTAGCTCAGGTTCATTAACTAATGTTAACAGATTTTTTATTTTGATTTAGTTGAAATTAGCGTTAACTAAGATTAATAAATGCTTTAGAAGTATTCCCCTACCAGCTCCTTGTGGCTCCCTGGACTCCAGTTTGAAAACCCCACGTTGTATCTTACATTCACTACATAAGCAAGCACATTTAGTGCCAAATGGTCACACAGGTCCTGCACAGCCATTATCGTAGTATCTGTCATCATAATCATGGCTGTCTCTTTTTTAGAGGCACCATGTGACAGTTGTGGATGTCAGAATAAGATCAGAATACCTGTGTTACTGTGTGTGAAAGACTGAGTGTATGTATTGTTCTCAGCGTGGCCCATGCCGACAGCCCTGGGTGAGGAGTGACTCTGGAGAGACTGGTTGCTCTTCCCGGGATACACGTTCTCAAGCTCCGTGTACACTCCTGACATCTATGGGTTGGGGCATGGTTAGATGAGATGATTTCATAACAGCAGTGATGACAGCGCTATGAATTGTGGATGAGCAGTAAATGGTACCCACGTGGCTGAGATCTGGGGACTCTGGGAAGGAAGTCCCATCCCCACACTGTCTTTCCTCTGGAGTCACAGGGTCAGTGAATGTTCCTGAGACACAGAGAAAGTGCTGTCCAGAAACAGAACATGTGCATAGAAAGCTGCTTGCCCTTCAGGAGCTAAATAGAAACTGAGGGCAGTCAGCTTTAGCAGCGGGTCTGGGTGGTATAGGTGGCTGAGAGGCGCACAGCGCTTGCAAGCAGTTTATAGCTTTTGCCTAATAGATGCTGCATGGTGAATCATAAACATGGCTGAGAACAGTTCTGACTATTTGTTTACCCCACAAGAGTGACAGTATCCCAGCAGGCACACAATGTCATAAGACGTTGATATTTGGTTCAATTTCGGTTGTGACGTCGGGTGACCAAAATTCAATGTCAATTCAACATCTAATGTCAATGTTAATTTGATGTCCAATATCGACGTCAGCTGGCGTTGATATTTAGTTGTTTTTAGGTTGTGTAACCAAAATCCAACATTAAGTCGGCGTCAAATTGATGTCAAATACTGACGTCAACCCCATTTTCATTCTCAACCAAAATGCAACGTCTGTCCGAGATTGGGGTCCATCGTCAACCTGACATTATATTGACGTCCGGTGCCTGCTGGGATGGCATGGCTATCTGAAACAGTGTTACGATGGAGCAATGAGTAGCATAAACAGTATTCTATATAAACTTATTGGCCTATATCAATGTCAATTCTATGTCATATTATCAGCAGGCTCTAAAATGTCCAATAATCCAACAATCATCAAGTATCAAATAAGAGTAAAAACTGATTTTGGCAAGAAAATAATAAATATGTTACACTACTATTCATAAGACTGGGGGGTAAGAAAGATTTTTTTTAAAGAAACTAACACTTTTATTCAGCAAATATGCATTAAATTTATCAAAATTTGTGCCAGTAAAGATATTTATAATGTTATACATTTTTCAAATGTTCAAATTTTTACAAATATGTAAAATTTGTTACATTTTTATATAAATATAAAGGTATTTCAAATTAAACCCATTCTTTTAAATTTTCTATTGACCAAAGAATCCTGAAAAAATGCATAAAGTGTTTTCACCTTGATAATAATAATAATAAATATAAAATATTTATTTTAAATTGTAATAATATTTTACAATATTATGATTTTTACTGTTTATTGACCAAATAAATGCAGTCTTGGTAAACATAAGAGACTTCTTTTAAAAACATGGGGGTGAGAAATGTACCGGCCCCAAAACTGAATTGTAGTGTATATGTACATATAATGAATAAAATAATTATTTTATACAATATTATAATGTCATGTTTTCATATGTTTAGTGTGGGAAAAGTTCATTCTGGACCCTGCTTTTTAGTCTAAAACCAAAACACTGACAGGGGAAAATATCATACCCATTCCCAGGTGAGTGCCGATAATGCAGTCATCTGAGCTTCTCTCTCTCACAGTGTTTTTGTGAGAGGTACCTGACACTCGCATGGAGCTGCTCCGTCTGTGGGTTTCTGGACCTACCTCTGGTTCTGCGGTAATAAAAATTCACAATCAGAATACATTCAGGACAGAAAACCACTGACGTTCACACAGTAAACTCACAGCTAACCTGCACTCTTGAAGCCCAGGAAGCGGGCGATCTTGCTCTTGCAGTGTTCCTGTTCCTCGTAGGTCAGCAGCTGGTAAATGAACTGCCAAATCAGCTGCTTGGCTGGAGTGTCCAGCACTGGAAACACGTCTACAATGAGTGTGTCCACATTCCTGTTTACATGCAACAGAGGGAGCCATTTTAGAAATAATTGGGCTGCTCTCTCAGCAAGCAGTCGCACCAGTGAGCATTATTTATTAAATTTGGAAGAACCCACAGATTGTTCCTGATCATGAGTATCTATTTGTGCTTGAGGCTGAAGCTATTTTTTTAATGCTTTTCATATTTGCCTTGCTGCTGCCAAGCGGCAGAAAATCCCTCACTGTGGGAACAGTATGCTATGATATTTGTAATCATATGGCAGGATGGTTACAATCTATAAGTGTTAATTAGCTCTGTTGCCTATAATTGGCTAACACATTTCTTACTCGTATGCTTTTTTGTCAAACATCGCATTGGTCAGAAATCATTCTAATATACTAATTTTGGTGCTCAGTTATTATTATTGGTACTCAATTATCAATAATGATTCGTATTAATACCAATGATAAAAACAGTTTTGCTGCTTAATATTTTTGTGGAAATCATGATATATTTTTTCAAGATTCTTTGATTAATAGAAAGATGAAAAGAACAGAATCTATTTGAAGATTATAGAAATCATTTGTCACTGTATAAATGTCTTTACTGTCGCTTTTGATCAATTTAATTTGCCCTTGCTGAATAAAAGTTTTGCTTTCTCTTTTTTAAATCTTACTTTCCCCAAACTTTTGAATGGTAGTGTATCATTTTTACACGAAAATATTAAGCAGCAAAAACAATTTTCAGCATTGATAATAGTAAAAAAATATATATATTTGGAGCAGCAAATCAGCATATTAGAATGATTTCTGAAGGATCATGTGACACTGAAGTAATGACTGCTAAAAATTCAGCGATGCCATCAAAGCAATAAATTACATTTTAAAATATATTACATCAAAAACAGTTCTTTTAAATTGTAATAATATTTCCCAATATTAATGTTTTTTGTTGTACATCATAAAATAAATGCAGCCTTAGTGAGCAGAAGAGTCTTCAACAACATTAAAAAAATCTCTATATAAATTTTACAATTAAATTATTCCAAACTCTTGACCTGCATGTAACAACAGCATATGTACTGTTATTATAGTCGAAGTTGAGACTCAAACAACTCCAAAAGCAACCACCAAATCTAATCTCTAATCACAAGCATGCTGGGAGCCACATTTACAATTCATTTTTACTTTGATAAAACAGTATTTAATCTCAGTACTGCCTTCCTCAGCTAATATAACACTAAAGTCATGTGTCTTCTCCCACTCAGCTATGATGAATTTTGACCTGACCTGTGCTGGAAGAAGGTCTCCAGAGCTTTGCAAATGGTATATCTTTCTTGTAGGGTGAGGAGGTGTTGAAGTTGCTGGCTGAAGGTACGGCCGTGCACACGGATGCTGGGAGGCAGGATCTCAGCTACCCACTGCAGGGAGCTGAGGGCCGGGGAACGCGAGCGGGGGATGGTGGGGGTCTCCTCTGGCTCTGAATCTGAGAGCGGATAGTCTACAGGGCCCTCTTCCACCATTAGAGTGGGCATGGCGCCACTGCCCTGCAGCATGGACACCACCTTCTCATGGGAGCAGTTCCTAAATGTACACAGAATAGAATTAATGTGTGATCAAATTAAATAATGTGTATAATATAATATAGGGCAAAATGGGGTGCAAATAGCATGTTCTCTTAAATAACTCTTAAATATAAATGTACAGTAGGTGGACATTTTTTATTGACAATTCTATGCTTGTCAGTCCCACGGAGGCAGTATGAAGTAAATTAGTGTGCTCTTGAGATTAACAATTTCCCATGGCCACGGGAAACTGATTTACATGTAGGCCTAAACAAACGATCTGAGAAAGCTTGTGGTTTGTTAAGGAGCAGCAGAATAATGTAAATGCATAATATTAATATTTAATCTAATAATAGCTTGTTTCCAACATAACTAACAACTTTACTCATCACCATATTGTTACCTCTCAAAATAACACCCTTCAAATCATCATATAACAGTCCCATAAAATACTAAAAATACTAAAAGGTCTCTGTGTTACTTGTCTTTTGTCGAAAAGTCACTTATGCTCACCAAAGCTGCATTTATTTAATCAAAAATACAGGAAAAACTGTAATATTGTAAAATATTAAAATTAATTAAAAAATAATATATTATATAATTTGATATATTTTAAAACACCATTTATTCCTGTGAAGGTAAAGCTGAATTTTCAGCAGCCATTACTCCAGTCTTCAGTCTCACATAAACCTTCAGAAAACTTTCTAATATGCTGATTTGGTGCTCAAGAAAACATTTCTTATTATTGTCAATTTTGAAAAAGGCCTTGCTGCTTAAAGGATTAGGGACAGAGTAAAAGGCTAAATATGAATCAACAAACTAGCGAGGATAAACCAGATAATTAATAAGCCATGGAAACTAACATTGAAAAGTTTGGGATCAGTAAGATTTTATATTTTTATTATTATTATTATTATTAAAATAACTTACTTTTTTAATTGATTTCTGAAGGATCATGTGAAACTGAAAACTAGATTAATGGCCCCTGAAAATTCAGATTTTCCATCACAGCAATAAATTACATTTAAAAATGGTATGATATTAAAGTTTAATCAAAAGTACTCACCCAAAGCAACTCATCTTTTAGTTTATCACGACTCAGACCAAGATGAAAGTGAAGTGGCTTTAAGAGATATATTCAGAAAATGAGTGTCACTTTAACCCAGAAGGGCGTAATTTAACAACCTCTGAGCCATCAAGAACCACTGACTACAACTGTCTAGAGACCGCTGCCTCTCTACATAGACCTGCAGAAGATCCGCACTGAATAATGAGCAGAAAATCCATGAGATTCACAAAGAGAGAGAGAGAGAGAGAGAGCTAGCCATCCTGTGTTAGCAGAAAGACAAGGCTGATTAATTTATACAGTAAGAATTAAATGAAACCAGTGATATCATTTTACCAATTCGTGTTTAACTGACACAAACTTACATTTCACTGCTGGTCATATATTCTCTATATAACCATGTATGTGACAAATAAAAAAGGTCGAAAAACTCCCATCTCATTTTCTCTTCCAACTTCAAAATCGTCCTACATCGCTGCAGAAGTACCGACCCAGTGTTTACAAAGTGAACATGCAAAGAAGGTCAAACGCCCTTTACGTAGGGCGATGTAGAACGCTTTGAAGCTGCACTGAAGCTGCAATTTGGACCTTCCACCCAGTGAACCCCACTGAAGTCCACTATATTGAGAAAAACCCTGGAATGTTTTCCTCAAAAACCTTAATTTCTTTTCGACTGAAGAAAGAAAGACATGAACATCTTGGATGACATGGGGGTGAGGAAATTATGAGGAAATTTTAATTCAGAAGTGAACTAATCCTTTAATATTTTTGAGACAACCGTTTTATTTTTTTAGGATTCTTTGATGTATAGAAAATTCAAAAGAACAGCATTTTTAAAAATCATTGTCTTTACTGTCACTGTTGATCATTTTAATGTGTCCTTACTGAATAAAAGCTGACTTAATTAAAAAAATATACATTATGACCCCAAGCTTTTTAATGGTATTGCAAATAAAATGATTAGGTTAGGTGAAATTACGACACATTAGGTTAACTTGATTACATGTTTCTGAGAAATCACTTAATTCATTGTGTATTCTTAGATAAGTTTACCAGAGTATCTACTGTAATATATCATATTAACTGATATGCAACTTTTAAAGCATCATCACAGCATAACAAAAATAAACACACCTCATGTCTAGGCCATTGAGGAACAATATGCGGTCTCCTGGTTTAAGGCCACATGCCTCGGCTGGACTACCTGTAATGGGAAAACATGGATTTAGGACTGAGAATGAAACCTGTCCTTTGTGATCGGTTGTAATTAAAACACTACAAGATATCCCGACAAAGGTCTGAAAGGGAATGTAATCTGTTTTTTCATCACAATGCTAGACTCCTACCTGTTTTTATAAGCAGCCCCACACAGGCAGCTGAGTCAGTGTTAACTAGCTTTAACACAGGCCTGCAGTGGGCGAATATCGTCATACAGACACTCACACACTTACCGCCCTCTGTCCACTCAGTGCAATCGTGCAGACTTCAATACAAATGTACCCAAAGCTTGCTCATTAGTACAACAGCCCACTCCTTCCTTTTCACAATGTACCACCAACAACAAAAAAACTGCAACGCTCCATTCCCCTTGAAAATAAACCACTGACCCCAGCTGTGCTTTCTATATGCCTTTTTATTACAGCCGCCTTTGTAGCCTACAGCGATATGACCCTCAACGTGGCACAAATTCTTAGTAACAAAACACGTCGTGTCCTGGAAGATGGTGATTTATATAAAGAGAGCATCTTTACTTGATCAGTGGCTGTTGGCAAAAATATGACAGCAAAAATTCATTAGATCTGTATCCTAGGTGGCAGGATGTAAAATTCTGGGTCAGATCACAAACCTTCAGAAAAAGAAAAGCCTGACTCACCTGAGAGTCAGTGCTGTTTTCACTCTAATTAATAATGAAAGATTGCAAGTGCTTACGGGTAGACGTGACAATCATTCATACGCACCTGGCATTACTGAGTCGATACACACTGGAGCATGACCTCTCAGAGTAAACCCAAAACTCTTCTTACCCCTGTACACACGGATGGTTCTGCTGAGGAAACAAGAGAGGCATTACTGACTGTACTGACTGAGTGTAGGTATGTTAAATACTCACATAATATTCAATACTTGTATTCAAAATGAGAAAATGACTTGCGCTCGTCTGGACAAAACTTAATGCCACAGTGTTTGGCTGTAGTGTGTGGTTGCTATGCAGTTGCTAAGGTGTTTTGAGTTATTTTTTGATTGTTGCTAAAGTCGTCTGTGTGGTTTCTTACTGGCCCATGTCAAAATAACAGTTGCCATGGTGTTGCTTTGCAGTTTCTAAGGTGTTCTCGGTGGTTGATAGGGCTTTGCTGGGATGTTCTGGGTGGTTACTTATTGGCCCAGGTCATAATAACACTTGTTATTTGGTGTTCTGGGTGGTTTCTAGGGCTTTGCTGGGGTGTTCTTGGTGGTTACTTACTGGCCCAGGTCAAAAAGTTGTCATGGTGTTATTTTGCAGTTTCTGGGGTGTTTCAGGTGGCTGCTATGGCTTTGCTGGGGTGTTCTAGACAGTTGCTAGGGATTTGCTGGGGTATTTACTGTGGCTACTTACTGGCTAGGTCAAAACGCTTGTTGTGGTGTTGTTTTGCGGTTGCTATGGTCTTCTGGTTGGTTGCTAGGGCATTGCCGGGGTGATCTGCATGGTTGCTAGGTGGTTGTTTACTGGCTCAAGTCAAAAGAGCAGTTTCTAAGGTGTTGCTTTATGGTTGCTAAGGTGTTCTAGGATGTCGCTAGGGAATTGCAGAAATGTGCTAGCTGGTTGCTAAGTGACTGTTTACTGGTCCAAGTCAAAGGAGCAGTTCCCAGCAGTTGCTTTAAGGCCCGGGTATACTTATATACTTATAACGGAATTCCGCATTCCGTTCCGTCTCGCACACAGCCACGTCCGCACAGCTTTCAAAGTATACTCAACCACGGATGAGCGTGACACATTCGCAGTACCACCTACTTGACCCATTCGGTCTCAACATTCACCTTGCATCTGCGCTGTTGTATGCGGACTGTCTGCACGGTCACAAAAATTGGGTTGTACATGGACGTCCGCGAAATTCTGATGATGAAAATTGTGTCACTAAGACAATGCGTCGACCATTGTGGAACGCGGACGGCCGAAGTATACTTTGCACTTTACAGTTGCTACGTTTTTCTGAGTGGTTGATATAGGGTTGCTAGGGTGTTCTATGTGGTTGTTAGGTGGTTACTTATTGGCTTAAGTCAAAAGAGCACTTGCCAAGGTGTTGTTTTGTGGTTGCTAAGGTGTTCTGAGTGGTTGCTATGGCATTGCTGGGGTGTTCTGTGTGGTTGCTTAGTGGCTCATGTCAAAAGAGCAGATGCCAAGTTGTTACTTTGCAGTTGCTAAGGTATTCTGGGTGGTTGCTAAGGCATTGTTGGGGTGTTATGTGTGATTGCTAGGTGGTTGTTAACTGGCTCATGTCAAAAGAGCAGTTGCCAAGGTGTTGCTTTGCAATTGCTAAGGTGTACTAGATGGTTGTTAGGGTGTTGCTAACAACAGTAACAGTGTTCACTGACAGTATAAGATGAATCAATTTCAAAGGCCAAACATCCAAATATTGATTTATCCCAACTTATGATACATACTAAACCAAACAGACAAGTATACTGAAGCACCACTTGAAGAGCTATTTAAGAAGAAGATTTAAGATTTCCCTGTTTGTTAAAGAAAACCTATGACATATCATTAGAGCATAGCTAGCCTTAGTGGTTGCTGTGGCAACACCTCAAGGAGACACTGGAACCATTGAGTAAACAGAGATAAGTAAAAGCAGTCTAAACATTTGCTTCTTGTCGCAGTGCCATTTTATATAAGGTGAGCCACCAGAACCAAGCACTGATGGCAGATTAGAAAGGAGATGACATATAAACAAAGACATTAAAAAAAAAATAGAAAACTCTGAATGGGGATTACATAAGGACTGAGCCAAGGAAGCATTATTTATTGAAGAGCAGCAGCTTATCAGATAAGGAATACAGTCTACAGGGTATCAGCACATCATTTTCACTCTTGCTGTAATATTTAATAACCTAAACACTCTGGGTGACACTTCCCCAGTAATATATTTGATATAATTTTCAATTTACAAATAAATAATATTGATAGATTGTAATGACATATAGAAAGGAATACTGTAAATGTGAATCATGAGCAAATTTAAAACGAAACGACAAGAGGATCTGCTTCAGTTCTGGCTCAAATTCAGATAAACTGCTTCATGGCTTGAATATGATATGATGGCACTCTTCCCTTTAGGTTAAGTCACGCTTTTAATGATTAAAATAGTGTGATAAGCTGATTATATATCCGGTACTCTAAAACACCCAACCAGTAGATCACAATATGAAAAAGTGCTTGTGATGTGGACAGTACGTGCATGTGTGTGTGTAAGTAAGCATGAGGCACAGAAACAAACACAACTAAACAGTCCTTCTCTCACCCACCCACACACAAATTCTCCCACATATCACACAGTGTTCTAAGCATTGGAGGAGGCTTCCTGCAGTGTTTTGGGATAAAATTGTCCTTTCAAACCAGCATGGAAGATGAAAAAGCTAATTTTATCATTAAATGAAATAATAGGACACACAAAAAAGGAACTCCTATAAAAGAGGTGCGTGATACATACCTCTGGTTGGCTCCAGTGGCATAGTGGCTGGGAATCATGGTGGTGCTTTTCCTAAGGCCACGCTCGGGTTGGGCCGGGTCATCGCCTGTATCTCTGGGCACAGAACTGGCCCGTTTTGAGCCTTGAGGACGCTCGTGGTGGTCTTGACTTCGGCTTCGGCGGAGCCTGTTTTGGGGATCACCCAGGCTCTTGCTACGGCACATGCGGTTGAGGAGACTCTGAGAAACTGCCTCGTCAAAGCGCTGCCGATGCTTCTTGGGAATGAAGATCCTGGCAAACATGGTCACAGCAAGGCAACAGAGAAAAAAAATCAGCTACGGGGAGCCATTATCATAAAGACTTTATAAAGGTTGCTAGTTCAGTTCAGCCAGTCAATTTTCCCATCCAATGGTTTCCATCACGACCCAAAGTGAAGAAGCTTCAGATTCAAGTCCACCACATTCATTCAGGATCACTGTTCAAAATCCATGAAAATATTCAAAGAAAGCCAAGTAATGAAGGCAATCCCTTTTCTTTCATGGAAGCTGTGAGGAACTCCAACATGTAGCAGCCTCTCTGAGTGCTGTCTTCATCTGAAACTCCCACTCCAGAAGCTCTGGTGCAGATACCAGAATCCAGCAATAGCAAAGGTGTGGGAGTACATCACATTACTGCCTCTCTCTCTTTCTCTTTCTCTCACTCTCTCTTTCCTCATTCCCTTTTTGCTGTTCCTGATGTTCCATGCGCTCTGGGTAGAGCATCAAATCTCAGATGCAACAGAGCACATTCAAAACTCGTAGCATGACGTTCAAAATATAATTGAAAAGATTCAGCTCATACTGAATTCAGTGAAAGATTTGAAGCAGGAAAAAATGGCTGACAAAAACGTTTGGGAAAAACATTTGGTTTAGGAGACAAATACAATTTTAACTCTGATAGCTTCACCTTTATAAGATTCTGAATAAAAACAAGGCCATGTTTGTCATATTTATGTAACGTTGGCGGATATGGAAACGCCTGTTATACCGCCCACCAGAGAACCAGAAAAAGCCCACAATTGAAAAACCTCGACAAGTGTAACGTCAACACAATTCTGTCTGGTTTGTTCTCTGAAGGTGATGTACCGATATTAGTATTTAAGATAATTTAGTATGTTTATCAAATAAAAAGCACATTCCTTTTCTGAGTCACGGCATCATTTCTCCTGATATTTGTAGGTCTGTTTTTGTCACTGACTGTATTCATGTAATCAGGCAAATGGATTATGAGCACAAACTAAATGTAATTCATTTTCTTTTCCATAGATCAGACATCATTTTAATATGGAACATATCAGAGTTAGGTACAAGGGCACTATCTATAGTGCTCTTCTGTCATAATTTACTCACTCTCACAAACACAGAGATATTTTTAAAAATATCTGTTTTTGTGTACATATAGGTTTGGAATGACACGAGGCTGAGTAAATACATTTTAATTTTTAGGTGTACTTTTAAGTAAAACATACACATTTGTTTTTCTTAAATTTCCTTTCTTGACATTATACTTCATAACTTTTATAAACACAGTCTCTATCATTCTGAAGGACACAAACACTCTGCACACAGATACTATATAATCGTAACCTGGAAATTTGATTTAAAATGATATAGTTTCACAACATTGTTTTTCTCTCCCCATTGCCTGGATGACAGTATTGACAAAAACACCCCATTAGACAATTCTAGAATGCAGAGTTGCCTCAGGTTCACATTATTATGGATGCACAGAGAGAGACAGTGACTTAATTGAGTGGCCAATTGCTGCATTAATGGATGCAGTTCCAGACAGCAGACAAGAATAAAATTAAGTATTAAGCGTCTTAAGAAGCCACTAGAGTACAAACCTTAGCCTACCTAGAGAACTAAAGCACTACTGGGAGTTTTATAAATGACAGCATACACCACAGCACATTAACATTTATTGTGCTTTTCAGAAAATGTGGATGGAACTACCATCGCCAGACTATATTTGCAATGTGAAATTCATTTGCCTTTTTGTTTTTGAGAGAAAAAGAATCACTTGAATGGGAAATTTTGAGTAAAGGTTAATATGAGATGCTCTGTTTTGATATTTTAATTACAGACTTTGACCGCATAGTTGCAAAACACAAGTGTATATATATA